TCACCTCTGATGGAGACGGTGAGGTGCAGGGACTTCACGCTCACACAATTTACTAATGAAGCACTGCAAGGAGGCCCAGATCACTTGACTTATAATAAGTGTGATTATATAGCATTTATCCAGCCTCCAGGGATATTTTGAATTTCTATGAAGTAAATCTTTTGAAACTTTATCACAACGCATACAAAAACCAGTCAGCCATAGGAGAATTTGCACGAGTCAACTCCACCAGGCTTTTCTTTTCCCTTGAGAGGAAACAAGTAGTGACGTTTGTTGTGTCCAGCTAGAGTGAAGTTTGCTGTGTCCAGCTAGGTTCAGCCACTGGTTGTGCGACCTGGGGAAAACAAACGACCTCGCTCTGGCCAGCCATGTCTACAAAAGGAGGAAGAGAACTGGAGGCTAAAGGAGGCTCAGGAGGTAGTTCAACCAATTAGTTTATGATTGGCAAACTTTGTGAGATAAGGAAATCTGAGTAACAAATGTTGAAGAAGTTCTAAACAAGACTTTGCCCTCTCTAGCTGTGATAACTGCATCATAGCGTCTAAAATGCTCTTTTCGTCCAGTAATGTGCACGGCACTATCTGCAGTGGAAATGCTACGATGTCTGGAATTTGCTTCACAATAGCGTGGGGTTAGGAGTACGTGGGGGTACTCAATGTTGATAATGCATTCAAACTAGCTAGTGAGTACCTGGGAGTCTGGTACACCAGTCTCTTAACTTTATATGCTTGCCTTTTAAATAAATAAAAATGTAAGCCAATAAAATCCCTTTAAAAGCCTAGGATATTTAAATTTCAGAATTAGAAATAAAAAGGAATGACTATCATCTTTCAACAAAATAACTTTTAAAAATCAATTGTGTTTAAAAAAATCACAGACAGCAATAAGAAAAACTCTAATATTCTGAATAAACCTACTGAGAGCTTCAATACATCACAGTAGTCATCAAATACAGGAGATTTTCGACAGTTTACAACATTTCTTGTCTATGGAGGATGGTTTATATTTAGCTGTAAAAGCACTCTTAACAGTTCGCCTATATGTATAAGACCAGTCAAATATCAAATTCTCTGATGAAATCTTGGAATACGTGGGCACCCCATACGGCTCAGAGGCAGCCGTGTCTCTATTATAGAAAAGATGAACACAGGTTTTACCAATCTCACACGAATGCCAACATAACAACTTTTTTAGTACGGAGGACTCAGTGGTTTATACAAAATCCCTACGTTTTGTGGATGCCAAATGCCAATAAACTGTTGGTAGAAGCATAGCAGTGATGTTCAAACTGTCAGATGACGTGGGAGAAGATGGCATGCAAGACGGGTACAGTATTTCTCTTTCTCTGCTTAGTTTTAACATTTGAATATGTGGTTCCATTATATGAATGGCTTGCAAAAGAAACCTCTCAAAACATACTGTTGTCCTGGAAAAACAACAGAAGAAACGGAGTATCCAGGCAGCCGCAGGGAATCTCTTTAACAAAACGAACTCAAGACTCTCTTGGATATCTGAAGAACACGGTACATGTTAAACCTAGTGGACATCTGAAGGACATGGTACATGTTAAACCTAGTGGACATCTGAAGGACACGGTACATGTTAAACCTAGTGGACATCTGAAGAACGGTACATGTTAAACCTAGCGGATATCTGAAGAACACGGTACATGTTCAATACAATCTCCAAGTGTTCAACACCTGTGGCATTTCTAGCCTGTCCCTCAGCATAGCCTTAAGTTACAGTTCGCAGGAAGCATTTTCAGGTCCTCCAACAGGTTACAGCCTCTGCCGGGAGGGAGAGAGGTTCAGACAGTATCATCCCACCGCTCTGGGCTCGCTTCTGTCAGGGCTACACAAACGGTTCTCATTCATTTTGATTTTATGGACGGTTTTCCAGGAAGCTCTGACTTTACCACTGCACATGGCAAAGAATAAAGGTAAAAAAACGCCGCCAAATTCTCGGGTTTTAACCCCGCAATGCCTGGAGCAGAGTCTGATACAGCTTGTGTCCCCTCTCGGTATCCCCGATCAGGAAGAGGCACTGCCTGTCTCTCGGGGAGCAGGAGGACCTTCGACACTGCCCCTTCCTCACTCTACGATGTCCTCTTTGTCATCAGCTCACCCAGCATGCAATCTGAGTTTCTCGATATGTCCACTGAGAACATATTAACCACCCTCCCAATCCCAATCTGCCCCACCCTCTCTTTCTGAGACTCTCACCTTCCCGAATTGATTCTCCAGTTACAATAATAAGCTTTTCTAACTCCAGACCTCACCAAGCCCCTTACTCCTGCACACTCTAACGGATGTGTATGCATTGCTTTAAGAAAGCCCCATATTTAGTGCATCCGGTTCTTTATGGTTTGATACCATTTCACATCTCATTTTCTTCCCTTCTCTCCGTCTGAACTCAGACACACCAACTTCCTGCCACTACGGGGCATTCTCCTTGCCTGGAACATTTTTGACCCTTCTCCTTCCCCAGTTCACCTTCAGATCTTACTTAAGTTAATCCTTTCTTAAGAAACTATCCTCTGCCTTCCTGATCAAGCACCACCTTCCGGTACTCCATCCCATCACAACGGATCCTATAGTTAGAGTTTGGATGATCTCTGGTGAAGGCCCCTGTCTTTTACTGAACTGAAAGTTCAACCCAGTACGGACTAAAGACTAGTAAACAATTCAGTACTTAAAAGCATTTTTTTTTTAAAAAAAGATTATGTCTGAATGGATAAACAATTGCTCCTGGAGACCTGGCTATTTCAGCAGAGTGAAATGTTTGACGGCAATTTGTGGGCGACCGTCTTCCATTTACACCCATTACCAGCAATACCCGGATCCTTTTTAAAGCCATATCATAAGACAGTAGCTAGGTTTCAGCTGTCTGGTGGTCACAGTTAGGGCTGAGCCCTACTTAGCATGCACCTTGTTTACAGCAAACAGCTACAAACTCAGGTCTTGCAGATTGCATAGACGCTTCAGCACATTCCCAGACTTTTAGGGAGTCAGTTAGTTTAACCTGTCTGTCTGTATGTCTGTCTGCTTGCTTACCTACCGAGCTACCAACCTATCTGCACTGGGGATCAAACCAAGGGCCTCATGCATGATAAACACAGGTGTTCCACCACTGAAGTTCGTTAACTAAAAACAAGGAAAAACACATTTAGAAAGCCACAGGGCAGAGTGTGGAAGCAGGAGAGACGGGCAGCATGTGTCTGAGCCAGTCATCTGAGACTTTTCATGAGCTCTCTTGGCATATGGCAAACCATGCACAGAGCTGGGTCCAGCCTGGGCTTCCCCTATGCCCATTCCTCTCCGAATTTCTCAGTGGGGTGGGCTGTAAGGCGGAGTCACCTTTAAGACCCTCGTATGACAATGAGCCCTGAGGGTGATATAGGAAACAAACTGTGTCTTTTCACTATGGTAACAGGGGAAAATGGATGCTCATCAGATTTTCCACGTATCATTTGAAAGGGTCAAAATTCTTGCGAGTGCGAGCAAGAGACAATTAAAAGACAGATTAAAATATGAGGAATAATTACCTTTCTTTGGTAGACATCTCAAGGGTATAATGAGCAGCCGGAGTAAATCTTAGAATGTCGCTTATTTGCCAAATGCTGCCAAGTAGCTGGGTAATAATTCATAGAATTCATAAAGACTTAAAAGACAGCTGCCTTAATGGAGGTTTTTTTTCCCCGTAACTTATTAAGATCGCCTTAATAATTCATGTACAGCAATACCTTTAACGAGCAACAAAATCTCACGTATCTCATTTAAACTCATTTAAACTTGGCAGCTCTGCCTCACAGTTAATATTGTCCCCTGCCTCCGAGCCAGCAATTGTAAAGCAGCCGTAGGCTCTGAGAGGCAGAAGCCACTCCGTTTATGATAATCCCAGGAAGAGTTACGCCCCAGATGAATGCTTGCATTGTAGGGTCCTTTGCTAGGGGGATTTACTCATTCTTCATGTGCAGGGAGGTGACGGGAGAATAATGAGCCCAAACTGTAACTCTTGTTCCACACTGAGTTCGTTCTCCTCCTTCTCCGCTAACGGCAGCAGCCGGCCAGGTTTCTGCGGAGCAAACAGGGGTGCTAACCGCAACCTTAACGCTTTCCTAAGGCTCCACACTCGCTGTTGGTGGCAAAGGAATTGTAGAGCGCGGTTCCCCTGGGGAGAATTGACCCTCCACGTTCCAACGCACACATGATTCAGGTTTGTCACCAGCAGCACTTTTTTCTTCTTTCTTTTTTCAAAAATATTTTTTTACTTATTTACTTATTTATTTATTTATTTATTATGTACACAATATTCTGACTACATGCATGCCTGCAGGCCAGAAGAGGGCACCAGACCTCATTACAGATGGTTGTGAGCCACCATGTGGTTGCTGGGAATTGAACTCAGGACCTTTGGAAGAGCAGGCAATGCTCTTAACGGCTGAGCCATCTCTCCAGCCCCAGGCACATTTTTCAAACCAAGTTATTTGCCGTCGGTGAAGTGGATGAAGCCCTTACGGTTGCTTTCCACAGGAGCTCCAGGTGATAAATTCCAAAGTAATATTCAAAATAAGGTTTGGAAAGCAGAGGCTAATGTTAGGACACATTTATTTGCTATCTTCATTTATATGAAAACCACTAACCACTGTATGGACAGTGGTTTAAGTGGCAGAAAAATAGATTGCATTTAAATCTATTTTGCATCCAGTGGTCTTAAATGGCTGCTTCTCGGCATCTCTAAATCATGTAGGAGAAGCTGTGATGTTGCAACTAGTGTTTTCTTGTATAAGCCAGTCTTAAAAAATTATTAGCACTAAAAGTCAGGAAAAGCCTGGATTTTAGGAAAAAAGAACTTCCCCATAAAAACTGACTTCCACTTTTCTTATTGAGTTAGCCTTAATATATATTCAGATAAGTAGCAAATTCTCATGCATCTCATTTAAACTTGGTCTGGCTAAAACCTGACGTACATCGGGGTGATACAGGCAGAAGTAGCAATACCTGGTGTAAGGAGGCAGGGGCAGGGTGATTCTGGTCCACTTGTTGAAAGTGTCTGACACCAGGATCCGCTGCAGGTGGTAGCGGCTGCACTCGACGTTAGTGGGCAGGCAGTCCCTCAGCAACGGGTGCCACGATAGCCCCAGATCCACCGAGTATTCAAGTTCAATAGCTGAAACGGGAAGTAGTGTTCTTAAAGCCAACACATGCCTGCGGAGCCGGGGACCACAGTAGCTTACTGTGTGTGTGTGTGTATGTGTGTGTATGTGTGTGTGTGTGTATGTGTGTGTGTGTATGTATATGTATATGTATATATGGCACAAATGTAATGAAATAGTATTACTTATTCCCTATATTTGTGTTTCTGACTTTGAAATGTTTGCCAGTTTGGTTTATCTCTCTGTTTATTTTTGCTTTTTTGTTTGTTTTATTTTTTGTCTTTTAGAGACAGGGTCGCTCTCTCACACAGTCCTGGAACTCACTGTGTAGATCAGGCTGGCCTCACAGAGATCTGAGTGCTAGGATTAAAGATGTGGACCACAAGGCCTGGCCATTAGTGCTAATTTTTAATAATGTTGAACTACAACTCCTTTTAAGGAGATATAAACAAGTGAAATAGAACAACTTTCCCCAAATCACGCATTATAATGAGAACCTGTTAGAAAAATCACACGTTATTGGTTCCTATGCTGCTATGCGTATATGAGCAGCCGATGTATTACATACTCTACACGGTGAACTCTAGTCCTGTACACTCAACGCCCTGTCTGATAACCCTTCTCAACAAGTCCCCTTCAATCTCATGTCCTTTTAGTCACTGCTATATTTAATGATCTCTTTTAAATATGCAAAAGAATTGAGCAGTCTTCAAAAATTTTAGACAGAATTATTTTTATTTGTGTGTGTGTGTGTGTGTGTGTGTGTGTGTGTGTGTCTGGGTGGCTGCCCAAAAGAGGCTCCTCTTTTGAGGTACAGACAGTTGTGAGGCATCCAACGCGGGTGTTGGGAACCAAACCTCACTCCTCTATAAGAATAGCAAGTTCTCTTAGCACCAAGTCATCTCTCTAACCCCAGTCTTTTAGATTTTGACCACCCCACAAACATTCTGGCCAGTTACGTCCATTTTGCTCTCATTATAAACAACACTTCTTAGAAACGACACCATCTCTTTCCTTATATATTTATATTTCACTCTTCTACACAAAGGGACAACACTGGGGAGCCAAGGATGCATAGAGAGCCACCTGAAAGTCATGGAGTTTGTGTAAACGCAGCAGTGAGACTGGGGTCTGCAGAAAGATAGTTCTCTCCTTCCCCGTTCTTTCTCTGAAACAGTCAGCTTTTCCCGTCTTTGCTGCTCTGCTGGCTACGAGTGCGTTGTGAGCTGCCTCAGTTCCCACTTTCCTGCTTGATCTAAGGTAACAACTTTCAATCTTAGCTGCACACTCAAACTCCTTGGGTACCTTTCAATCTTAGCTGCACACTGAACCTCCTTGGGTACCTTGAGAAACTCTTGGTGCATGCATTTCATGGTCAGTCTCTTCCCCAAACTTTCTGGACCCTGGGCCTGGGGTCAGCAGCTCTGAAGAGCCCCAGGGGATTCTGTGTGGCCAACATGAGGCCGTATGCTCCTTTAAGCTTTCTAGATACGGACAATGCCCAGCCTTCGTTGTATGTGTCCTTATGGTCTCAGACATCACTGATCACTCTCTGATTCTTTCAGTTGAGATCATTATTCCAGGCATCCCCTCTTCACGCTGACTCTTTCGTTTACTAGGGGAGCTTTGTACATTCCTTCCAGACATCTCTCTGGCCTCCTATTCCATACATACACACTCAGGCTGCAACAACACCTACACGTTTTATGTCTCCAAACTGATTTGACTCATTCAGCCAGGGCTTACTGATTCTGGCATTACACTGGACGCTGAATACATTGAGAAGAACAGTCTAGACAGGTCCTTCTTATGGGTCCAAGAAGTATTGTCACTAGAACCAAGAAAACCACACCACTTCCTTCCATAAACAAACAAATTTTAGTAACCACTAAACTTCAGCAAGGATGATATTTTGACACTCTTTCTCTGGGTTTGAAATTAAGACATCACTTCCAAAAGTTGACTCCTCTGTTGAGTTCCCTGTGTGGAGGCCATTACTTAGTCCTGGTAGACTTAGTTGTTCTCACTGTCTCACGCTACCTTCGTCCTTTCTGCTTCTCTTCACACCAGCACAGCACCCTATCGCCGTCCTCCCTGAGGCCCTCACTGGAGATCACTGCTCCACCTTATTTATTAGGATTCCTTTATGCTAACCGTCACAGAGCCAGTCTCTCCTAGAGCATATTACAATTCTTGTGACGAGCAACTTTCTGCCACAGCCCAGAGTCACCTGGTAAAAATGACTCAGTGGGGAGCTGTCTGCAATAGTTTGGCTTGTGGGGATTGCCTTAAAGTGGTTGATAGAAGAAGAACCAGACAGCTATGGGCAGTGCCATTCCCTAGGCAGAGTCTTGAACTATACAAGAGTGGAGAAACAGCGCTGATCGAGCAAACATTCAAACGAGCACCTACACATTCGTTTCTCTGTACTCTGACTATAGTGTGACCTGGGTATTTGATGTCCTGTCTCTCTGTGCTC